AACAAAGCACCAAATTTTCAATAAATGTACCACAAACATTAAGTATATCAATTACCATTTAGAACAAAATTGGTTACATCCTTATCTGGATTTTTAAAGATATTCCAAAGAGACTTCAGTGAATTATTCAAATACACTCAGTTAGACAATAAAAATCATATTTTAACTTTCCTTCTTTAAAATTAATGATACATATTCTGCCAATAAGGATATAAATGCTTATACTGTTAATTAACTTTTAGAAAGAGCCAAAATCCAGAGAACTTTGAAAAAGCACTTTTACGAAAATAATTTGATACATTACTAAAACCTTTAAAAACTGATCAAAGTAGCTAAATTCATAGCTATTATCTGAAAGTCTAATTTAAACTTAAATTGCCAGAAGAGAGTTTAAGTATTGTTCCTTCTTGTGTTGGTCATAAAATATTTGAACTGAAGTATTTAGATTATTATTAACAAAACAAAAGACACTAAAAGGAAACAGGAAGTAAGCTTGCTGAGTGAGAAGAAAAATACCCTTCTGAATTTTTACCACAAAGCAAATTTCTGACAGGAAATGAACATTTAAGTACATAAAGTAATTATTAAAAAAAAAAAACCTTAGGCATTGCAATATTATTTCCCAATAAACAAAGTATGAACTTCAGGGAAAAGTTTGTAAATGGACAGGGATAAATGATGTGTGAAAAATTAAAAGTTCCATGCCAATGAATTCTGCCACAGACTTCCTGAATTATTAATGTTCCTTTACCTCTTCCTTTTGGTCTATATCAAACCAAACTTTTCTTATACACAAACAAGATGAAATCTTAATATTAATAAAAGGGCTTAGAAGTTCTCTTTAATACAAAAATCCTTCCTGTAGCATATGTAACAGGTACATATAGAGCTTCTGATTGAATGCTCTAATATTTCTGTTTACAACCTGAGAGTAATCTGTATGAAATGGATGTTCATAAATTCCTTTGTAGATATTTAACCATCCAACCTGCCTCCTTAAATTTTCTTCTCCATTAGTCCTTGTTCTACTTTTTTTAGGATACCAAATTTAAAAATTAAGCACTAAACTGATTTTTTAATTCATGCGGAGAAATAATATAAAGAAATAGGATTTGCTCCATTTTTAAGCTTTACTATACAACATATTTTAACTTTTAATTTAAGTACTTTAGAGTCTCAAAAGTAAAGTATGGGTCAGTACTTTACTTTTTTTTGTGTGTGTGTGCTGGGAATTGAACCCAGGGCCTTGTGCATGCAAGGCAAGCACTCTCCCATCTGTTACCACTTGTCTTGATTAAAATCTAGCACAAATCAGGTACAGTGGCATAGCCTGTAATCCTAGCTACTCTGGAGGCTGAGATAAGAGGATGGTAAGTTCAAGGCCAGCCTCAGCAATTTAGTGAGCCCCTATTTCAAAAGGAAAAATATAAAGGATTGGGGATGTACTCAGTGGTAGAGTGCCCGAGTACTAGGCACAATCCCTAGTACCAGACTCTTCTTGCTCCCAAAATATATATGGCACAAATTGTTGTCTAATGTAGCACAAATATGCTCAATATATTAAAAATTTTAGTATTCTGTATTTCATTCTATTTTAAAACAACATAGTGACTTTCAGATATTCTGCTCCCTGGATTGGCTTGAAAACCTATGTCCAAAATACAGAACAAAACAAAACAAAAATTCACTTTCTCTTTTACATGGCAACTTTCCAAAATTTAACTATTATTCCCCAAAAGGCCCTCAGAAATCATCTGGTCTAACCAACAATTTCATAAATAAAGAAACTCAGATCAAGAAAGTGACTTTTATTCAATTACTATTTCTTTGACAAAAAGTCTGCATAACTTCTAGATCCCGAATACTGTAGTCTTCTCTTATTGAAACACTTTGGTGAGCCCTCTTAGAATGTAGTGCTCAAATATAATTATTAGATAGGGTTTTCATAGAATTGATTGTAATGTAACAACTGTATAACACCTCAGTCATGCATCAGATAGACTTCTTCAATCCTTTCCTCATACTTTAAAATCTAAGAACATGTTCCCGTTAAAACTGATCCTGCACAGAAGCCTAGTAATAAATTTCTAGAGTTTGAGCAATTAGCAGTTCTCTATGACAACCATGTGATCCGATTACCTACATCTTGTTGGGGAACATCTTATCTTTAGAAAACAACTTACCTTCATTATTCCTGTAAAATACTTTCACCCAAATAAAGAAAATATAACGATGGTTTTATGACAAATAATAAAAATGAAAAAGAGGGACTGGGGCTCAGTGGTAGAATGCTTGCCTAGCATGTGTGAAGCACTGGGTTCAATTCTCACAAATAAATAAAGGTACATCAACAACTAATAAAATATTTTTTTAAAATGAACAAGAAAAAAATGTATGCAGGGAAATGTACACGGGTGTCACGCCCCTACCAAAGGAAAGGGTGGAGAACACATATGTTGAACTGGAAGTGACTAGTCTAAATTCAAGACAGCAGCAGGGAAAGGAAGTTGAGTTTCACAATAAAAGCATTAGCAATCTATGTTAGGGATTTGGGTCTAAAATGAAACTGTTCCCAGGGTACTCTATTTTTATACTTTATTATTAGTCTTGCCACATTCCCAATTTCATAGGCTCCTGAAGCATGAGGACACTTAAGTCATCTTGTCAAAAGGTCCCAAATGCCACACCAAGGGAGCAGACTGGTTGTATCAGAATCACTTAGGGAAAGATTTTTAAAGACATCTTTCCACACTCTCTCCCCAATGCCACAAGAATCCTACAACAATCAGAAATGAGTAGGTCTAAACTTTGCAGGAAACTGTGACCTATAACTAAGTTTAAGAAGGTGACTCTCTGAATATCTCCTGTAACAAGGTACTACTCCCAAAACAACATGAATACCAGACCTTTGCTTTTTACAAATAGTCTGTTGCCTTTTTCTTGACCTCTAATTTGTTATAATGGAAATTCTCAAAAACACACACAAAGTAGGTCAATATAATAAACATCCATGTATCTATCATCAGCTTCAACAATTATTAACATGGCTAATCTTGTTTCATTTATAAACCTAAATACCAACATCTCATTCCAATTTATTAAAGGTACAAGTAATATTACTTAGTAAGTTTTTCAAAATATACATCCCCAAAATATAAGAGCTCAATCAACTAACTGAAATACCAGTATTATACCAAAATATTAACAATAATTCCTTAGCTTCTTTGCATCCCAGTTTCCTCAACTATAAAATTGGGATGGACAACTCTGGCTTCATAGGATTCTTATGAATTTCCTACTGTCTCAGTAATTATTGGGGAAAAAAAAAGTAGGGTGGGGGAGTTCAGTTTGAATATGTACAACACATAAAAAGCATGTAAGTTTTTGGATCAGAGTTCCAGTCCTGGATCTTTGAGCAGGAAATAACCTGAATACCCAGAAACCTCAATTTGTTTAAAATGATAACTGTATCTTAACAAGGGGGAAGGAAGAATTTAGAAACACTAATCAATTAATACTAAGTTATAGATAAGAGTAAGTTCTGGTGTTCTACTTCACATTGAGGTGAACATAGATAAGAATAATCTACTGCATATTTAAAAAAAACTAGAAAGCATTTTGAATGTTTCACCATAAATAAATGATAAATGAGGTGATAAAGATGTTTAGTCTGATTTAAACATTACAGAATATATACATGCATCAAAACATTACATGGTACCCCATAAACATATATGACACTTATTTTTTATGAATCAGTTAAAAATTTAATAATAAAAAAAGGAGAAGATAACTGCAGTCAGTATATTTGGAATGGTAATCTCTGCTCACCAGGGATAATGTTTCCTTTAGTAGATAAATGACATTTTAAGGTTAAAAATTAAAATATACAGACATTGAGATAAACTAAAGCCATTTAGAAACATTTCTATTACCTTTAAGCTAATCTATCTATTGTGGCTATAATGCATGCATTGTAGAATTGTGAATGCATACATACAGAAATGAGATATAAAGAGCAGGATTGTTTCAAAATGACCTGGATGCTCATTTTTGATTATCTGGATAATCAGGGGGTCTGTCTTCTATGAATGGGAGGGTTGAGCCTGTTCTTAGCTCCCTACATCATCAAAGGCTTCCTTTTCTTTGATATTAAGTCTGCAACTTTCCAGAACCCAAACATCTCCAAGTTCTAGGCAGCTACCCATCCCCCAAAACTGAAAATATTTGACATCTCAATCTCAAGACTAGACAAATACTACAAAATTTGTTCTTCCTTTCCTAGATGTTTGTTGACTCCCAAAACCAAAATAGTAGGTAAGGTGCTAATTTAATTAGGCAAGTGATGATTCATACTAAAGTGATGAAAATGAGACTTATAAAGTGAGGATGAGATTTAAACATTCCCAGGACATACATATATTATTTTGAGGTATCATCTTAAGAAATTTTTTTTTAAAAAAATGAATAAAAAGGGCTGGGGATGTAGCTCAGTGGTAGAGTGCCCCTGGGTTCAATCCCCAATATTGCAAGACAGGAAGTGGGGCATAGGGAAGAAGGGGAGAAAGAAGAAATCTTATATGAGGAAACAGAGACAAAAAAGATCTTAAATGCCTCTTGGTGACAATCAGATCCTGATTAGGTCTTTATAATCTTAGAAAAGACAACATTAAAGGTAAGAAATTTTTCTTTTTTTTTTTTTTATATTTATTTTTTAGTTCTCGGCGGACACAACATCTTTGTTTGTATGTGGTGCTGAGGATCGAACCCGGGCCGCAGGCATGCGAGGAGAGCGCACTACCGCTTGAGCCACATCCCCAGCCCCATGTAAGAAATTTTTCAACTGGCCTCTTCACATTTAATTATTTGCCACACAACCAAAGAATTAAAAGAATCCTTGGGAGCAAATAAAAACAAAATTCTAAATGAAAAATATTTCTTTTTCCCAATAAATTATGCACACAAACATGCTAAATTTGAGTAGTAAGAAAAAACTATACCTGTATTTGGCCCTGGACTTTAGTAAGCTGAGTTGCTCGAATATTTAAAGACTGGCTTCTTGTTACAGTTGCCCCAGAAAGGGAATTTCCATTCACCTTTCTTTCAAGATGACAAGTTGCTGATGATCGTTCTTCAAGAAGAACAGCATCCCAGGGATCCTTTGCTAGCAAACTTGGAACATTTCTGTCTTCTTCATGGTCTACTACTTCCACATTGTCCACTTTTGGCTTACTTAGAGGATCCAGGTCTAACCAGTCAAATTTACTGATGTCCTCAGACTTTGGAGATACCTGTAGATTGCTGACTGTAGTTTTTGAATTTGTTATCTCCAAATCCGTCCTTGCTTTCCCATTTTTTAAAAATTCTGATGTGCTAGCTATTTTGTCAAATAGTTTTGCCATGTCAGGACTGACTGCTGGTCGATAGATTGGTAAAGTTGCTTGTGGATGAAAGGGTGTGGCAGGTGTCAAAGGATATGGAAAATACGGAGACTGTCCTGGAAGCCTTAAATATATAGGTTCTGAAGATGGAAAAGTAGGCATTCTTGGGTTGAAGCCATTCTGGAATGCAGCCTGTTTACTGTAAGTTGAAGGATAAATAGAAGGTAAAGTATAAGTAGAAGGCCCAGATAAGCCAGGGGGCCACTGTCCTCTCTGAATACTAGGTCTAAGATAGAGCTGTGCTGAAAATGAAGGGCTCAGAACAGGAGTAACTGGCAATACAGGTGTTCTACTTTCAAAACTGTCATCCAACAATAGTTTTTCAAGTTCGGCTTGGGTGAGCTTTTCTACATCAATATCAACTGCTCTTTTTTGGGAATCTGATTCAGGAAACACCATGAGATCATAATCCTGTTTATTAAAAACTTGTGCTTTTTGTCTGGTACTGCTTGACAACTCAAAGTCTCTCTGCTTGTCAGTCACTTGTCTGTCCTTTTGCAGTTTTGCTAAAGCTTCTGCTTCCATCTGTAATGCTTCTTGTTTGTCCACATCTTTTGTTCTTGTTGGTTCCAGCTGTGAAGAACACTGTTTAAATCCATTGTTGCTGGATATCTGAGCCATGTCCACTAAAAAGACCAAACTTTCCCCTATCTACTTTTTTCTCGTAGCTTCCAAAATAGCAAGACCTATACATAAAAATAAATAACACTCAATTAGATTTTCTAAACATAAATAAATTTTATTTTGTTTGAAACCTACCCCCATATAATTTAAAATTTGAGGCCACTTACAAAAATACACTACCAAGTAAATAAAATAAAATGAACATTTGGGTGAAATATGAATGAAAGAATCCTTAAGACCTGATACTCTACTGGTTAAGTAAGATGTTTAGACACACATGACTTTATTCCATTTGCTGACTTAACAGGAAAGCTGGCACAATAAATGAACTTAAAAAGTTTTCATTTCAGCTGTCACATGACTGCCATTAACCAGTGGTACTTTTAGCAGAATTCTTGGCATGAAACGTCTTAAGTGCTAGTCACATATTTTCAAGAGTTCAGATAGGGTTTACTGTTACGAAAATAGCAAGTCTAAAATGGGTGCAATCCTTTTGCTATTTGTGAGCCTTTTGCTATCAAATTGCTCAAAAGCCAATTAGATACCTAGTCAGTAAGATAAGGAATGATTATTTAATCAAAATATGTGAAAAAAACTGATTAAGAATTTACACTATTCTACACTTACTAAAAAATGTACACTGTAATGTAGCTTACAATAATAAAAGTGTTAAGGCCTTAAAACCTGTAAGATTCTACTCAGGGGCTAGGGTTGTGGCTCAGCAGTAGAGCGCTCGCCTAGCACATGTGGGGCGCTGGGTTCGATCCTTAGCACTACATAAAGATAAATAAAATAATGGTATTATGTCCAACCACAACTAAAAAATAAAATATTTTTAAAAATAAAATAAAGGTATTGTGTTCAACTACAACTAAAACACAATATTAAAAAAAGATTCTACTCAAAGGTTATGACTAAATTGTCACATAGATTTGATCACACTTCTGTTCTGATTATCTGCAGTTAAGTCAAGTTATATAATATCAAAATTTTTCCTTTAAAAACCATTAAATCAGGGCTGAGGATATAGTTCAGTTGGTAGAGTGCTTGCCTCATATGCACAAGGCCCTGAGTTCAATTCCCAGCACCATACACACAAAAAAAGTCCTTAAGTCAGGCATAGTGGTGCACACCTGTAATGCCAGTGATTTGGGAGGCTAAAGCAGGAGGATCTCAAGTTTGAGGTCAGCCTCAGCAATTTGGCAAGGCCATAAATAACTTCGTGAGAACCTATCTCAAAATAAAAAATAGAAAGGGTTAGGGGATGTAGCTTAGGTAGAGTACTTGCCTAACATATGTGAAGGTCTGGATTCAATTCCCAGTACTGGAATTTAAAAAAAATTATCATATAGATTAAATGAAATAATGCAACTAAAATACTTATGTTGACCCTGAGCATAAGCACTAAATAAATGCTATTTATTATTAATCTAATCCAGTTTGCAATATACTTTGGATACCTAAAAAGCAAGAAAGCCTCTGTTTATGTCCCATGTTTTTCCCTCCTAGCAAACATTAATGTTTTTCTATAATACATGTTCAAGAAGAGTCTGATGAAAGGAGACAGGGAAAAACCCAAAATAAATTCAAATTAATATAATACAAATGAAAATTTAGGGGGCTGGGATTATAGCTCAATGGTAGAGCGTTCACCTAGCATACAGGAAGCACTGGGTTCGATCCTCAGCACCACATAAATGTAAAATAAAGACATTGTGTCCACCTAAAAAATAAATTATGAAAGAAACAAAAGATCTTATTTTAAAAAGATGAAAATTTAGGTGTTGAGTTAATAACAAAAAGGAAAAAAAATGTTACTGTTGTACCTCAGTGGTAGAGCACTTGCCTAGCATATGTGAGGCACTGGGTTCGATCCTCAGCACCATATAAAAATAAATAAAGGTATTGTGTCAATCTACAACTAAAAAAAGTATTTAAAAAAATGTTAACAATGAGGACATACAGAAAGAGGTATTCAAGGAATATCCTCGTAATGTCTTTGGACTATTTGCAATTCTTTCATATATTTGTTGAAAAGTTATTCCAATTTTTTACCTTCCACAGTAGACTGCAAAACATAGTCATGATGTATACTTGAAACTTGTATGCTTCATTATACTTAAATTTTACGTCAAGAGAAAAGGAAAGACAAAGGCTGGGCAGAGGCACAGTCCTATTCCCCTAAGCAATTTAGTAAAACTCTGTCTCAAATTAAAAATAAAAAGGACAGAGAGCCAGGAATGGTGGTGCATCCCTGTAATTCCAGCAGCTCAAGAAACTGAGACAGAAGGATAATGAGTTCAAAGCCACCCTCAGCAACAGCGAGGCACTAAGCAACTTAGTGACACCCTATCTCTAAAAAAATACAAAACAGGGCTGGGGATGTGGCTCAGTAGTTGGATGTCCCTGAATTCAATCGCTGGTAGGCTCACCGCCCCCCCCAAAAAGGGCTGGGGATGTAGATCAGTGGTAAAACATCCCTGGGTTCAATCCCCAGTATCAAAACAACAACAATAACAACAACAAAAACCCAAAACAATAAATAAACATTGAACTCTTGATAATACTGCACACAAAGTATTCATGTGTGCAACTTACTTTTAAGTGCATAAAAATATGAATTAATGGATAGAGGGATGACAGATGGATAAATATGTGATAAGGCAAGTATAGGAAAATGTTAATAGAACAGATGTTAGGTACATGGGTATTTTGCTTTACAGTTTCAACTCAGCTGCTGTAACTGAAAACCTTCACAATAAAATGTTCATTTGGGGGAAATGGGCACAAATTCACCCACTTGAATACACATATTCCTTTACAACATGATTTTTTTGTCCCACTAGTATAGTGGGACAAAATATTTCTCAACTCTCTTAATCTGAATGGGTCTTGTGACTTACTTTGACCAATAAAATATGGGAAAAGTGATAGTGTTGGAGTTTCAAGACTAGGTCATAAGAGACCTTACTGAGTTCTTCCTCTCTTGAACTGCAACTACTGTCATCTGAATTAATACTCACTGAGAATGAAAGAGAAGTAGGAGAGAAAAGAAAGCTTGGCCAACAGACAGCAAAAATCACTAACATGTGATAAAGCCACCATCTTAGACCATTCACCACACTCCAAATGACATCAGACTCATGACTGACCCAAAGTAAGACACAGAAGAAACCACCCAGATAAACTCAGTACAGATAGCTAATCCACACAATCATTCTGGAATGGTTTATTACAAAGTAGTAACTGATAAACCTTTTCTGATTCATTTAGTTTTTATTTTATTTTTTCTGAAGTGCTAGGAATAGAACTCAGGCAATTACTTCAGGCAAGTGCTGTACCACTAAACCACAACCCATTCATTTAAATTAATAAAACTAAAGCCACTTAAAAACTAACAATGCATTTTTGTCTTAACTTCTGCTACTATTGCCACCATGACCATTTTCCTTCTCTAGAAGGAATACTTTTCCTTTCTCAGGCTACCTTCTCCACTCATATCCTTATTAATCTCACTGAATTCCCCTATACTTCTTTATCAGTGGTTGCCTCTTTTGCACTGTTAATTTCTCCTTTAGTTGCCGTAAAAATGCTTAAGTGTCCTCCATATTGAGAAGGGGGAGGGAAATCTTAACATTCTCTTTTAAGACTATAGTGGCTTTCATTTTAATTTTCTACTTTCACTGCCAAACTTCTCAAATGATTGACCTAGAAACTTCTCAAATGACTGACTCCTTTCTTTATACATTGTGCCTTGAAAAATTCTACTTGCCTTTCAGGGTCCAATTAAAATACCATCTCCTCTCTGAAGCTTTTCCTAAGCACTCTCATCAAAAATTATGTTTTTAGCTCAATAAAAAATTTTTATCAATTCTTTTCTTTATTTTTGGCAGTTCTGTGGGTGGAACTCAGGGCCTTGAACATGCTAAGTCCACACTCTACCTGGGGAAAAAACATGGGACATAAACAGAGGCTTTCTTGCTTTCTAGGTATCCAAGGTAGATATATTGCAAACCCTTTTGCCTACTTGGTTGACATCCTTGCATCTAGTAATAGGACCTCTAGCTTCTTTTTTACAGATTGTTTATCCCTTTTATCCCATTTAATTAAAACAGGAATAGTCCATTCTTTTTTTCTTTAATATATATTTTTTAGTTGTAAATAGACTTAATACATTTATGTATGAATGTATATATGTATGTATGTGGTGCTAAGGATAGAACTCAGTGCCCTACACATGCCAGGCAAGTACTTTATCACTGAGATACAACCCCAGCCCAGGAATGGACCATTCTCAATCCCCACATTTTCACACCCTCAAATACTTTGGAGGATACAAATCCAGCTCATCAGTATTAACACCAGGACTTCTGCTGAAACTATTTGGAAAGGCAACTTTTGTTTGAGATTGCTAAACTGATGGGATGTAAACTCGCACTGTTATGCCCATCTTTGTCGCTACTTAAGGAGATGCCTAAGAATGCTTCCAAGCCAGAAGAAAACAGAGGTAAATGAGAAATAAGATGTATTCTGGATAATCTTACATTAAGCATTTGGATCTAACCATGTTCTAGGACAAACTCTTCATTGTATAAACCACTAGGTTGTTTTGTTTGCTTAAGATGGTTTCAATTGATGGTTTCTGCCATGGTAACCCAGAAAGTTCTGATTAACACACAATCTATGAACTTGTACATCTATTCAACAGGCTAAAATAGGCTTAAATGCAAAGACCTACTTGTTCATTTGCCTAGTTCTCCCACATTTAAAACCATTTTGAGCCAGGCATGGTGGTGTATGCCTGCAATTCCAGCTACACAGGAGAATTGTAAATCTGAGGATAGCTAAAGCAATTTAGTAGCAAGACCTCAATAAAATTTTTAAAAAGGGTTTTAGCTGTCATAGGGCACTTGTCTAGCATTCTCAAGGCCCTGAGTTCAATCCCCAACACCACACACACACACACACACACACACACACACACACACACACACAGGCATTCTGCTTAATAAAAATGGAACTAAGTCTAATGTGGTGGCACATGCCTGTACTCCCAGCTACT